GAGAACTTGGAGCCAGAGAGCCCTAGAGCTAGGTGAATCCTCTCTGAGGACCACACTTGAGCAGAATGGATCTTTCTGAGACTTAGAGGAAGAATAAAATCTGATTTAATTCTTAGGAAATTGCCTTTTTTACCCACCTGTGTAAGCCTGTATTTAAATGCTAATATTTTTGGCCTGCTGGGATGCCACATTTATTTTCTTCCTGAGTAGCAACAAAATCATTTATTTGTGAGAATTCTAACGCCTACCTCCTCTCCTGAGTTCCTCACTTTCATTTTCATCTACCAGCTGGAAGTCTCTTTCCTGAAAATGCACAGATCTGTAAGCCTCTCCTTCTACTTCTCCATGCCTGGTCCTGTGTCTCTTTCTAGAACTACTGGCAGCTTTCACTCTAGCCTGTCTCCCACCAGTCACTAATCCCGTTAATTCAACTACCTCCCTTCAGGCAAATCAGCAATCTGACCAAGCCTCCATTTCCTCATCTGTGAAATGGGTATAATAATGAGAGCAACCTCACGAGTTTGTCACAAGGCTAGGGAAATCCAAATATGACCTGCTGCACAACGTCTGTGACAACATCACAAATCATGGAGATTATTTTCCTGAAGAACATGACCCTGAGGAATCTGCCCTTTCCTGTTCGTGGTGGTTCTCTTACAAGCAGCCCAGTGAGCTCCAAGAGAATCTTTCCGGCTGATCAGAAAACACAATCTGGCCACGCAGTTGCTTCGAAGGCTTTTCACTCTATGATGTTACACCTTGTAAATTTGTTTATGGTCTGAGCACCCCACTTCTACAGCACATTTTCCACCATGGGTGAGATTTTGCTTTTTCTACCTGTGTGTTCTCATTCCTGGTGTATATTAGAATTCCAGAATTTCAGAAGGGAATCCCCCTAGACCGAACTGGTTATTCACCTCTGACCTCCACCTTCAGGGGTGCCCTTCTGTGTCCTGCTCCATGATGTTGGGTTGAGACTCACCAGCCCTGTCTGCTCTGCCAGAAGAATTGGGATGGGGGAGAAGGTGTAATCAGGAAGGCTGTGGCTGGAATGAGGGCTGGTGCCTTCCAGGAAGCTTCCTGCTCTGGCCTATGACCCCACACCCCAGTGATAGTTCCAGTTTCTGCAACATTTATTTCTGAACTCCCAGATCAACCTCAAAGCTTCCAGTGGAGACATTAACACCAGTCAGCTGGCACTCCTTCACAGATGCCTCATAGGGTTCCTCCTCCAGGTTTGTGGGTTCTGGGGATACCAGTTCTTTCATTTATCAACCCCTACCCTGACCCTCCAGTTTTAGAGCTGACAACTGCCAACACCTCTGTGATTCCTTTGTTCCTTTTGTGATCCCCTCGATACCTGTTGAACAAGTCTCCCTATGAAATTCTCTGTTAAAATAGCAATGTGGCTTCTCTCTGCCTGAGCTGCAGCTGAATCTGCCTAACCATGTCCCCTCCACCTTCCTTCCATCTCCCACAATGATGGCCTTCGAGGGAATTCCCTCCCAGGAATGGTGTGTTCATTTTCTCCCCATGATTTTTCCAGGGCCATAAGTTGGCAGTCTGTAGTGGACAGCACACTTTTCTTTCAATAACAAGACAAAAGATGCCCCCGTCACACTGCCATTTTTTATTTATTTATTTATTTATTTATTTATTTTTGAATCCTGGTAAGAAAGAATGGAAATTTCCATGCATTTCAGAGTCAAATGTCAAATGGTCTTGAAATAGAATTGCCAGTGCCTCAGCTGTGGGGTCATCAACAAGTTACTGTCCCTCTGTGGGCCTCTGTTTTCGCCTCCAGAGAAAGTACCATCACAACGCTTGCCTCCAAGGGCTATCTTAGGTATTACGTGTGTTCTAGTAAGTACTCAGAACAGTTGCCTGCACGTAGAAGGCTCTCGGTGAGTGAGGCTGTCATTGCAGTGTTCTGCCTTCCAAAGGACATTGTGCTGTCCTCTCCTTGCCTGGTACTGAGAGAGGTCAGCACATTCTCCTGGGCCCAGATGCCATCTGGAACCCCCATCTGTTTGTCCTCTTCTCCCCTGGAGCAGGCGTGTGTCGAGTCCCATAAACAGCTTCAGGTGGAGAGATGACTCTGGCTTCTGAGGTTCCTTTGGCAAAGGCACATCTGTGACAGGAAGGCTGACTGATTACTAACCTGCCAATGGTCTAATCTCCCTGGTGTCACCCGAATGCCTCATTACCACATGGCCTTTCCTGTTTCTTATCTGCGGAATGATGTGTTCCTTGAACAGCTGATTTTCTCCTGTCCTGAACTTAGAGTGGTACAACTGGATTTCCTCCACTGGGAATGCTCTAAACTACTCGTCCACATTTCTGGGGATTTTGCTGTGTGATGTTTTGGATATTACCGACCCTCTCTGGACCCGAGTCATTTACCTAAGACTGAGGGTTGTTACTGAAATCAGAAACTCTGAGACGCCTAGTGTTACGGTTTCTGTAGGCAGGATTAAACTTGGAGCCTGGCTCCACAGTGCCTAGTGATCATGAGCTTTACCTACACAGCCTCCATTTATAGAAGTGTGTGCAAGGATGAGGCGGGAGTGAAAGTGGCATTTGCCTCTGATAAGGTGGTCTCTTTTGCCAGACATTGTGTCATGTGTGTTGGTTTCATTTGACCCTCCTTCCAGCCCCACAAGATAAGGATTGTTGTTTCCATTTTACAGAAGATAAAACTGAGGTTTACCTGCTTGCTCCACAGCTGCTAAGTTGCAGTCTTTGGCCTTTCACTTGCTCTTCTCTTCCTAGCAATTATTACTCCTGAGAGCTGGATGATTAATTGTTTGGGGGCCTCTGTTTAAATCTCATTTTAATAGAGAGAAGCCTTCTCTCATGACACTTTGTGAAACAGAACTCCTGTCAGTCTCCATCCACTTAATCATCTTTCTTTTACTTCAAAGTACATTGCTGGTAGACATATTTGTTTATGGTAGACATATTTGTTTACCACCTTGTCTTTCCTCCCTCATGAATGTAACATAAGCTCAGGATCTTGTTATGTTGATCCACCACTGTAGCGTCAACACCTGGAACAGTAGAGGCCATGGTGATAGTGTGTGTTCAACGACCTTGTGTGTGTGTGTGTGTGTGTGTGTGTTGAATGGGTGAATGAGTACCTAGTGCAATGACTATGCTCTTACCCATCACCCATCTGGTATGGTGGAGTTAACAGATGCTGATTCATAGGACCTTCCAGACCCTTCCAACAACTGCTTCTTCCTCCAGATTCCTGAGCTGAAGCCCCAATGCAGATCCCCAGACATCTCCCATTGTCCCCAGACGATGCTGCTGACAGTCTCTGGGAGCCGCTCCTCTAGGATTTCCTGGCTAAATTTCCAGGGCAAAGACTGAGTTCTGAATCAGTGCCTGTCACTACCATCATGGCTGCTGTTTCTTCTGGCTTCTGAATTTTCAATCTCCTCTTGTGCGGGATGGAAGAGAGAAACCACTGGGCTTAGCTGAGAGGCCTACCTCTGCAAGGTAAATGAAGTTCTTCAGATAAACTGACTTTCTACAAGGTGTCTGGTGAAGACTGCTCCACAAGGTAAGGCCCAGGAGTGCATGGCGTCGTATTGGTCCTGCTCGGTGTTTTCTGCATGTCTGGTTCGCAGTACATCCTGCAGTTGGCTGCTCAGCTCTTGGCTGTATACTGAGAGCTCAGTAAATACTGGGCTTGATTAAGTGAACAAAAGACTAATTGCTGTTTAACATTCCGAGATTCTGTGTGCCCTTTAACTGGGGCCTCAAGACTTCAAGACAAGGCGTGAATAACCTGACGATGTCAAACCTAGGACATTAACTGCTCGGGCTCATTTCTGTGCAATTCCGTGGCTCAGACCGCATTGGTGAGTCACCTAAGGCAGGCCACTTTGGGGCTTGGAGAAAGATTCTGTGGGTTGTCTCTGGGGTCTGTTTTTAGAGCTGAAATTTGTTGGTGACCACTGTCGGAGTGAGGTTTGTTTCAAGATTCACTTCTGCACAGCTCACAGAGAATGGGGAAGAAAACTAGACATAGAACAGAAACTCTGGCTTTTCTGGCATTTTATTAACTGATAGTTTCTGGGCTCTTAAGACATCTATGCCCCCAAACCTCACAGTGAAACAGATAACACAGAAACAAGCTGCTGAGAGGAGGAGCCTTTTCCAGGGCTGGCCTAGTTCAGCTGAAGGTGGGTTTCATACCTGCTGTTCACAGGTAGCCAGGGACATTGATAGGAGGCACCCATAGTGGTGGTCTATGAGGACCTTGGCAATCACCTTTGCAATGGGGGTGTAGTAAAAGCAGCCATGCCCTGTGTACGGGGGTGGGGTGGGGGGTGGGGTTTAGGGTGGAGGGGGGATGAGCTGTCCTCTCCAGCCTGCAGTCTGTGCCAATGAATGGGCAATTCACTGAGCAATAGTTGGATTTCACATTCGTACAATGTCTTACCATCTTACTATCAAGAGCTTTATACTGTAGTCGAATGGTTTGAACTTTGGTCATTTCTCTACGGCATTTCTCAGAATACTTTCCTCATCAAAAGAAGTGCTGATTGTATTTCTCTCCTGCCCTGATGAGAGGTACAAACCTCACCTCATCTGCAGGGCTGGGAACAGGGAGGGAGCAGCCTACTCTGAGTTGGGGACACCTGGAACCAGGAGTCTGCAGCCACAGAGGGAGCAGGTCCAGTCTGTGGGGTATGCAAAGGCCAGCTCCCCTAGGACTCGCCCCTCAGCCCAGCTTCTCTGTGATACAAACCAGGCAGTTCAGAGGCAAACTTTCCCCTGAGTGTCTAACAGTGGCTTCTTGCTCTGCAGGGAGCCCTCCCAGATTCCCATCAAGACACAGAGAATTGATCTATTATGTTAGCCAGGAAGGAAAGAGCGGGAGAGCAGCCGCGAGGCTGCGGAGCCAGAGCAGAATGCTTTTGCGTAGCAGTCCCCTCCCTTCTGACTCCAGTATTAATTGCTACATTACCACTGCCATGTAAGAAAGACAGTCAGCAAAGCCTGGGAGAGCTCCAGCTCCTCCCTCCCTGCTCTGCTCAGCTTCACTCTCCTCCTCCGCTCCCTCAGAGCGCCCTGTGCCCTGGCAGTGCCACCCAGCCCTGGCATCCTGAGGTCCTCCCATGGTGAGGACCTGAGTGAACCAGAGGGGGTGGAAGAAGGAGGGAGGAAAGAGCAAACATTGTGCCCTGAAGACGCTGGATGCTAAAGCTGGATTCGCTGTTCCTGGTACTCCCTGGGTGCATCCCTTTCTCAGGGTCCACCTGGACAGGCTGCAAGTTCCAGAGGCACGCAAGGTGGGTGCTCTGTCTTCTGGGTGCTGACAGCACAGCCTGCCTTCCCTCTGCCACTATGAGCGGCTGCTCCAAAAGATGCAAGCTTGGGTTCGTGAAATTTGCCCAGACCATCTTTAAGCTCATCACCGGGACCCTCAGTAAAGGTAGGGAGCCTGGACTCAACCCTCTTTTTCTGTCTTGAAGTGGCCTGGCTGGTCACAGTGACTTGTTCTAGCAAGCATGGCCATTCTCGTGTACCCCGATCTCAGAGGAGGCTAGGGGGAAATCTGGTTGGGATTTTGGGATGCTGACAACCTCAGGTCCTGGCTTGAAGCAGGTGGGCACCAGGCCAAAACTCAGCCAGCTGTAATTGCCTGGAACTTTGGAAATGGATTTGGTGGTGTGTGACCGATTGGTTATAGACGGGCAGATGGACAGAGCCCTTCCCGGAGTGCAGTGCTGGAAACAGCTTAGCGTGACTGGAGTTTCAAGAAGTTCCCCATGCAATGTTGTGTCTTGTTGATAAAAGGGAGATTTGACGCGGTGGGCTGTGAGTAATTCTGCAGAACAGAGTTATTTGAGGGGGCAGCAGGGGACATCTGTGAGCCACCGTGCAGATCCATGGGCTACATCAGTTCTGGCCCTGCCAAGCGCTCCCTCTCCCCAGGTTCCGGGTCCTGCCTTTCTGAGGCTTTGTTCATCATTTGACTCCCTGAGATCCCCAGCCCTCATCTCTTGCTGACATCCATTCCTGGCTCTATACTACCACTCCTTCCAAGACTGGGCAGCAGGCAATTTGCAGGTTTAGCCCTCTGGGCAGCCCAGACAGCTCGTGGACCAGAATTAAGACTGCGTATACATGATCCAGCCCCTGGATGCAGAAGGCAGGGTAACTTCCAGAACCCTGTCTCACACTCTGCATCCAGGGAGGGTAAGGCACTGAGAGAGACTCTGGCAAACTTTTTAGAGATAAAATTTAAAGAGTGAGCAGCATGATGTGGTTTCACTGGCTGAAAAAAAAAATAAGTCTTTAAATATTCATGTCCTCATTCGGGAGGAAAAACTCTTTGGGGGAGACACATTGGACAGAGAAGCGAGGTTTTCAGGGAAGGCAGATGCCCACAGACCCCTTGCTTGGGGCTTTGCGACATGATAATGAGGAGAGAGAGAGGCTGTGTGTGGCCAAGTGTGATGATGTGGCCCAGGTCCTCAGCTGCCCAGGGGGCTGCCCTGGTGCAAATTGTAAGTGACGTGGGCAATGGTGGGACTGCTAATCACCTTTCTCAGATCTTTCTGTCCTCTACTCTTGCCCTGTACACTTCTGAAATAGGCACTGCCTTCCTGCCCCAGAAGCCCAGGTGAACAGAGGCCCAGTACTGAGATCAGGTGCCAGGCAGAAGTCACAGGGACCCCTCAAGGGAGGGATGGACTGTGATGAGCAGGAAGGAGCAAAGAGCTTAGGCAATGGAACAGAGCTCCCCCATTTGACCCTCACAGAGAAATCGAGGTTTCTCCTGCATCTCAGCAGCAACATCCTGTCCCGTCTCTGCTCCCAGCAGTGCAGCAGAAATCAGCTTTGGCTTGGACTTAGGAAACCTAGCTCTTAACTCTGACTTTGCTGCCTGGGCAAGACATGGCCTCTCTGCACCTCAGTTTCCTCATCTGTGAAATGAATGCATTAGTTACCTCCTACCTTCCCAGCACTGTCCAAGGGTCCAGGAAAGCCTGGATGGGGGTCTCCTTAGTGGAAGGGGCTGCAGTACTCAGCTGTGAGGGAGCCGTCAGGGCCCCGGGTGGGTGTGTGTCTAGAGAGGGCAGCCAGGTCGTGCTCTCTTCGGGGCCAGGGTAAGCAGCTTTCCAATCAGCTGACAGCCGATGGCTGTCGACACCCCAGGTAGGACTACAGGGCGAGAGCCCAGAACTGTGCTGCAAGAGGAGTATGAGTCAGTCAGGGGAAGGAGAAGCGCCGAGTGGGGAGTGTGTGTGAAAGACAGGGGATAGAGAGCGATCTGAACAAATGAACGTGAAAATGTTTTCTTCTGCTCTTAGCCTATAAGCATGTGCTCAGCTTCTATTATTAAGCTCCTCCTCTGTGCCTCAGTCATTGCTAGACATCGGATACATGACGAATAAGACACTTGCATTCTGGTGCGAACGTGGGTCACAGATGCAGTGGCCCTGGGACATCACCCTAAGTGCTGAGATGGTGGGGAGGCAGGGGGCCAGGGGGCACATGGTAGTCTGGGCGGAAGAAGAGGTTCCGCCACAGTGGCACAAAGCTGAGGTGAGAAGTGCAGGCTGGGAGGTGGAAAGAGGCTGGCGCTGCAGAGGAAGCTGACTGCTGCAGAGCCGGCCAGCAGGTCAGGTCAGCCCCTGCCCTCCTCTAAGCCTCCCAGAGACGGTGATCACGTGACGGAGAGAGGGACTGACGGGAGCCAGCAGTAGGGACAGAGTGGTCGTCTGGCCTTCCTCTGACCAGCTTCTGTCCCACCTTCCTCCAGCCAGAGCTCAGAGCAGCCCACGGAGGACTGCAGGCGGGCTTGCCTGTCGGCGCTGCGGAGAGCACCCAGTGCTCACACAGCCCTGGCCCTGAGCCAGGTGGAGCACAAGGTAGCTGGTGTCCTGCCCAGTCCAGGTGTTCACTAAATAAATATTTGTTAAATAAATGACCATGGGAACTGGGCCAGCCTGGCAGCGGAGTGGAAAAAGTTTTTTCAAATGTTTAGACGGCCCTAGGTGAACGCAGACTAGACCCTCACGTACACTTGAGCGTTGCTTGATGATTTCTAGTTTTGTGATTGCACTTAGTCCTGTGATTGCTCTGATTCCTAGAGTCGCAATAATCCAACCCATAGTCGCAATAATCCAACCCAATCCAGTTATCTCCAGGGGCTGGTGCTAGGGCAATTTATTGTTTCTTGTCCAATTTGAGAACACCTGGGGAGCAGGGGGAGCCAAGGCCACCCCTCCCTGCACGGCCTCCCTCCCACTCTTGCCAGCAACCCCCTTCCTGGGAGTCTAAACTACTGGGTGGCCCAGATTCCTCATCAGTGCCCTTTCAGAGATGAACTGACCGGGTCCTGTGCTCACATGTCTCCTTGACCTTGAGCTCTTCATTCACAGCCCTGATCACAATCAGTGTTCCATGTTCCTTTTAGGATTGCTGAGTGCTGTCTTCCTTCCTAGACTTAATGAGGGCAGGAGCCAATGCATTTTTTTACTCACTGCCATCACCAGAGCTACTGCTCTCGCACCCAACCCAGAGTGGGTGCTTAGCTGAGAGTCCAGCAGGTCCACAAATAACATCATTTCATTTCAAAATATTGTTTATGAGGGAAAAATCTGATTTTTGCTGTGGCCACTGTCTTTGTGGAAATTATAGGTTCTGTGCACATCGGAGTGAATTTTCTCCAAGACTCTGGCTTCTTCCCCGACACCCCAAAGATGTGCATGTGAAATTCATTGTCCATGAGTGTCTCAGCTGTGCCATTCAGAGTGAGTGTGCAGTAGAAGGGTGTCCTGTCCAGGATGGGGCCTGCTTTGTATTCTGGGTCACTAGGATGGACTCTGGCCACCTGGGAGCCTGAATGGGAAAAAGCAGATTGAATGAAAGAATGAATGAATAATACACATGATTGTTCAAGATCAGAAGTGTTCTGGGCCTTCAGGAGTTTGGTGATTGTTTTTGTGACTAGAAATTTGCCACAAGAACTTAATTCTTGCTTATATCAATTAACCTGTGGTAAGATTAGTTTTTGACATAATCCACTTTGCTTGAAGTTGCAGTTGTCAAGAATCTATTGATGACATTAGGTGCGGACTTAACTCTACTAAATGAATAAACCTCTGCAAGGCTCAGACAACAGCCCTGAGCTGGTGCTCGAGGCCGGTGCTTTTAAGGTGAAGAAGGAGCTTTCTAGATGGCTGGTGCATACCCAGTCTCAGAGGTGCTCAGGAAGGGTCTCTCTACTCTGCTCAGCTGCAGGACCTTTGTCTGTGACAGGAGAATGAGCCTCCAGCCAAACAAATCCTTCCAACCCCTGCAGGAGCTTTTTCAGGTCTCAGAAACAACATTTACATGGTACCCAAAAGAGAAGGCTGTGTGGGCAGGACTCTGGCACCCCTCTCCTCCCCTTTCAGTTCTGCTTTGCTTGATTTTACATACTGGGGTTCTCTGAAATTTAAAAACTTTTTCTTGCTTAAGAGAAGAGATTTGCAAACCAATTATGCTGTGGGAGGTCATGTGGTTCCCAGACTCTGCACACAGGCGGGGATGCCTGCAGCTAGCTAGGTGCCTCCCCTCGCTGGGCCACCTTTTACCTAATTTATGGAATGGAATCATACTGCCTGTCTTGTGGGATTAGAGGAGATTGTGTATGCAAAGCTCCCCAAGTAGAATAAGCACTCAGGAAATGGGGACCACCGTGTTTGCTGCTATTAGCTGTACTTGTGGGGCTTGAGAACCTTAGGGCATAGACTGCTCCTCACTCACCACATCTTTCCGTCAGCCAGACAGACTCTGGGAGCAGCCTCTCTAGAACTTTCCCTTTTCTGCCCCTGGATCTTGCTTTCCTAAGGCTCCACCCAATGCTAAAATTGACCTTGGAGTCATTTCTCATACCTGATTCCCATATTGGGAGGTACAGTTCACTCCCTGAACCAGGACCCCATTCACCCCTCACCCCTGCTGTTTAAACCTGAAGTCAAGCTCCTGGTTAGGTGCTTATAAGTTAAGGATCTGGGGTAACCCAGATCTTCCTGCTCAGTCAGCTTTTCAGACCCCTTCACAGAGACCGTGGGCAACTGTGCAAAGTCCTCTCTGGCTCAGGGCTTCAGCCCATCTCCTTCTGCACTTAGGAACCCATTTGTCACCCCAGGCCCAGATAGCTAGGCCAGAGTCAGCAGGAGAGAGGAATCCAGTCCAGGAGAGCCTCTAGTTGTTCTGGCCACCCACACGGCTTCTGGATAGGGAGGGGAGGGGGGGCTGACCTTGTGAGATTGATCTCAAGGATGGTGCCCTGGAGCCCCACTCTTTCCCTCTCCCACACCCCCCCCCCCCGCCCCCCACATGCCAGCATGCCGTCCACTCCCCTCCCCCCCCCCCATGTTTCTTCTTTCTGTGTTGGACAGGACCTTAGTTTCAGACCTACCAAAGACACAGTGT